AACATATTTTTCTCAATCTCTATTAATTTCTTTTCCGTCGTATTGCACAATAGTACAGCAGACATTGCCAAAAGGATTGAAATATTATCAATTTGCTTCAAAGCTTGGCAAAATTGATCTCTAAAAAATTACTTCACAACAACCAAGACTGATTCAAGGACAAAATTATCATTTTCAAGGACCTTTCCTCCAAATTCAAGGACTTTTCAAGGAAAATTTGCATTTAAGGACTTTTCAAGACTGTACAAACCCTGTGTGCATGAGCACATGAGAGTAACTTCACATGACGATAATTCATCCCCACCCAAGTTGCGGGATTACCAAATCAATCACTACATTGCATGCTCTTAGACTGAGTCCAGGTTGTCAATGATTCAAGCATGGAGAGTAACTGCTTAATTTGGATTATCGCATTTGTCGAACCTATTACATTTGTGTTGATATGTATTGACATCTGTGACAACAGTCCAATGTATATTTAACAGCTGGACCTGAGCCTAGCATTTTTACAAAAAGTCTGTTCTCTGCAATTGCAGAGAAATTAAAATTTCTTGATGAATGAAATTCACACAACAAGAAAAAGCAGAGATTTTCAAATTTTTATGTAAAAATGGAATTGAATTGAAGCTACAARCGCACAAAATGGTAAAATGAAATACACTTACTGAGATGATTTGCACAGATTTTGAGTGTTTTGTCTCGTCGCATTAGAACTCGAAAAGCTTGTCGTTGTTTATGTTTTAAAATCCTTAGAACACCAACTCCTCGCTCCTTCCAGTCGCTTTCATCGCCGTTTGTATCATATCTGTACAGTTTGGCTCTCCTGTTAATCAATATTGAAAACAAAAATAACAGATAAGGTACTCACTTCAGTTCTTTTTCAATGCTCCACAAACAACTCGTAGATTACTAGTAAGCAACCGAAAGCCAATAACATGATGATAATATCTTACACTTGAAATAATTCTTCCTCATTATCTTCGAGAGATTTTATTTCTATCGCTGGTAGACTGACGATCGGTTCAAAATGAATTTCTGGATTTGCCGGTGGTTCGTGAGTCTGGAAAGAAAAGACACGGAAAACCTCCCTTTAACTACGAAAATATTCGAAGAACAAGAGTCCACAAATCCTTGACATACCGTTTCGTCGCTCATAATGAAATTTGGTGTACCGATGCAAAAGATTTTGATGGATTTCCAATGCGTTTTGCTTTTCCACACAAAATGCCGGAAAAGTTCTGTCAGCACAATTTTCGCGCTACAAAAAATATTACGCAAGTTTGAAAGAGCGCATGATCGGAGATTCGGGACAACAGGAATACGGGCTCAAAAGGTATCAATTAGCAGCTTGGGATTCCTGTGCCGAATACTTTTCTTGTCGGGGAGGGGAGAAAAATGGGTTGTAGATGACGGAATTTTTGTCACTGTTTCGTCACTGTTATAAAACTCATAAAAGTAACATTGTATGCAAGTTTTTTGGACAATATTTATTTCAGATCAAATAAATGGTTGTAGGTTGGTCTATTCATTATGATGTAAGCGCTACTTCAACCTAAAAGTTATTTATTTAAAGCTCGACAAAAATAAATAACTTTTAGGTTGAAGTAGCGCTTACATCATAATATTTATTTCCTTCATAGACAAACTTTGCATGGCTAGTTGTCAAAAGTTTGGACAGCAATGTTCTTTTATTGTTTTCTAATATATCTCTGTCCACATGTAGTGGTTATACAACCATCCTTATGTATACAACATGCACCTGGATATCTCAAAGTAGACAGTAATGCTCATAATAAAAGCTGAGATGTGGATGTGGCCTAAAACYTCTTGAATTATATTATCTTGCACATTTTTTTGGTAAGTTTAAATGTTTAAAGCATATCATTAAACATCATATTTAATAATCATAATCAAGGAACAACATAATCTGATGCAAGAATATATTTATTTTCTATTGGTCATTATCAAGTTTACTGTGGTGACCAATTCAGTACATAATTTGTACAATACTAATGATTGCACACAACAYATAGGTTTAWATCAATGTCAGCAGACTACGTGCCTTAGCTTAGTAACATTTTTGTAATCTACAGTTGCAAGCAATAATGATATGGCTCAGTCGAATCGGAATTTCCGTCCTTGGCAGTAAGTACTGTGTAATAATTTGTTTGTTCCATACATGAACTTTCTTATATCAATCAATTTATACAGCTGCTCTGTTTGAGCATGTTCGTTGATAACAACCCAAATTTAATTTCTGCAATTTTGAATGGTATTGAATTTTCTACAAAATTTACTGTTCAGAATTGACAAATTTGAAAAAATTTGTCTTAAACTAGCTTTGGTTTATACCATTGCACTATAAATATATTTGTCAGAAGCATCTTTAGCTCCACAACTCTCTTGATATATTCTGCGGATTTCCTTCTTCCTATTACACCCTAGTAATAAAAATATAAAACATATTAAGAAAGTGAACTTATATCATCCATTTTTCAAAATTCACTGTTGCAAAAACTAAACAAAATAAAAAAATGAAACAATCCGTCTTACTTTTTGACTATTTGCACCACATCTTCATCCACAAGAACATGGTCTTTGCCAACCTTTTGAGGACTGTACTTCACTGATGCACCCCAAACAACAGCACTAAAAAAAAACAAAAAATTAGAAACTACAAGATAAAAGGTGTCTAGATTTGTTTCATTAAAAATAGTCTCCTCCATCATGCTGATGGTTTCCTGAGCCATCTTGAAAGGCAGCTGTGCATTTGCATCAAAGCAATACCAGTATTGAGCATGCAGTGATAGAAACCTTCTTTCACACCTACAGACATTATTCTACAGGAATCTAACATTGCTTGCTCAATGATCATCTTGTTTAGATGCAAAAGCATGGCTACCTTTCAAGAAGCAGACTATTGAATTCCAATGCCATTGTTTTTTCCATAAATATATCTTATTACTGTGTACAATGATTAGTCACAATTCCTATAGTACTTCATAATATTGATTATCTATCACTAAATGCAGCATAATAATTTCTTTAGATTTTCATATTTCTTTAAATGTATTAAGGAATTCTTTTGATTTCGTTTTTGCTATGATATATTCAAGCTTTTTGTATTGCTGAACAAGGTTTTGAAAAGCATGCAGACTTGGGTTCTTTTGCTTTTGTCTGTAACTATACAACACCAATTTCCACAACATCAACAAAAAGTTCACAAAACGGTCATCGACAGTGATTCCATGCAAAATGTTTTCCATCGTTAAACATGGAAGCGCTATTGATTCCTTCAAAAACCAATCAATGCCATTGTTATTTATATATAATGGAGTCCTGAATAGAACATCAACCTACAAGTTCTACAGTGCTTACTGTTTGAATTCTTTCATAAGGCTTTTATGTAACTGATTACAGAAGTCTTCCACAGTATGGCCACCACTTCTCAAAATCACAGGTGATTCGTAGTCTGGTAATTGACCTTTAGGCTTTGTATAGCTACAAAATATTGTTATAGTAATTTATGTTATTAATTTAATTAATAGTATTTTATGTTATACAAGTATCTGTCAATAGTATATGTAGATTTCTACTCTTTTTCCTACTTTTGGGCTTCCTGTTTGCCAAGAAGATAACACAGGAATCCCAAAAATTAAAGGTTGCTTGCAGGAGAAGTCTAGTGTAGTGTCTAGCACAGATTGCTTCATGTATTCTTGTCATAATCACAAATTCTTACATTCTGATAAGACCAAGACGGTCCCACATCATCTCTAGCAAGTCATCAAAATTCCACTTATGATGTGCTGATATCGGTACAGCATGGGGGATTTTATAGATGAGATCCAGTTCCTTCAAATAAGACAAGAATATAGTATCATTATACATTAGGGCGTATTTAGGTCAAATGAAAACATACCTCTATTGAGATTTGGTCAATTTTGTTCATCAAGTAAACACAAGGTATATAAATTCTAAAAAAAAAAACAAAGCAAACATAAAAATTATTAAAAATATTTCAAAAAAATATATAAATATTATAAAATTAAAAATGCTGCAGTAAAATTTCAGAATGACAAAGTATATTTGATCACGTACATGCATCATTGCTTCATCAATGAATTATTTGTGTACCTGTTTCCCTCAATAACGTCAATCAAATCATCAGCAGTAGCATCATATCTTAGAGTAACATCAGCATTGTTGATACGGTATTCGCCTAGGATACTCTTAACAGTATCTAGATCAAGTTCACTTTGAGTGCACTGTGAAAGAAAATAAGACCACTTAAAATGACTGTATTTAACATTTGAGTACCAAGTGAATAGGTCGTGTCCAAGGTGCATGACATTTTAAAATTAGTTGCAAATAGTTTTTGCTATCACCGTGGTTTGTAAATTGATTCCTCCTTTTTCTTTTTTCTTRAACCCAATGTTAGGAGGTGTCTTATTCAACCTGAAATGTGAAATATATTGATTGAAAATGAGAATAAAATGGAATGACCGGTCGCCGGTTGGCCTTATAGCTCAGTTGGCAGAGCACTGCAYAGGCATCTAAAGGTCATGGGTTAGATTCCTGTTGAAGCCCAAAATCGTTTTGAGCAATCCATTTATTTAATAATCGCTTAGATTATTATAATTTCCCTGCATAATCATTATTTCTTACACAATGTGAGAGTGAAAGTAGGTGGATGAATGGATGCATGAAAGAGCAAACAAATGGATGGATGTTTTAAGATGCTTATGAACACTCTGGGCAATACACATGTAAATTTACCTGATACCAAATCCTTCTAGTTCTTTCTCAATGATTTTCTTGTCACCAAGTGGTTTAAGCACATCAAGGACAATGAATATTAAATTGCATGTCCTTGCAACTAAGAAATACAGAGTTAAATGATTATAATATTATTAAATTACTATTCAAATATTTGTATGAAAGGAGTCAGTWCCATTGTCATCATGCTAAGCTTTCATTTTCTGAACACTCAATGGAAACAATGAAGAGTTTTATACCAAATGTAGTTACATGTATTAATTACATTACATACCAGCAATGACTTGTCTGCCTCTTCCTTTACCATCTTTGGCACCTTCTATAATTCCRGGTAAATCAAGCAGCTGGATTTTGGCACCTTTGTACCTAATCACACCTGAATCACAATTTGTATGTAAGTTTATAATAACTTAATAGCTTAATAAACACTTTACCAATAAATCCATAGAGGCTAAACAATAAGCCCCAACTGAATTGGCATTAGGAGAAGGAGGTAATTACATACAAAAACCTTTCAATGGCAAGTCCCCTTCACTCTCTCCTCACAGTAAGTTAATAAATATTGAATCTGCATTTGTTTTGTGGTGCAGTAATTGGAAAGCGCTGTTGCAGCTGCATTACACTAAATTAATGATTAAATTGCATTAAACAAGCATAGATAATATGTGATACTTTTACATTTATACTAAATCGCGCCACATTACCTGGGACAGTTGTAAGAGTAGTAAATTCATAAGCTGCAACTTCTGAATACACTCCAGCCAAGTTGGTGAGTAGGGTTGATTTTCCAACAGAGGGGAAACCTAGGATTTTTTAGGGAAAAAAAGTCAGCAATTAAATACTGTAAATCTAATAATGTTTTGATCAATCAATGTGAACTTGACCAACTGAACCATAAAGACAACACACAGGGTTAGCTGACATTTATTTCCATTTATATTTTTTTGGAAAAATGTTTACTTACCAACRAATCCAATTCTTGAATCACCAGTCTTAGCCACATCAAAGCCTAATGAGATTAAAATTATTTGTATGCATCAGACAAACTGGATGTCCAATGAAATGTACTCTCCTGAATAATGATTTGATTGGCCAGTTCAGGTTTGCAATATACCAACTATATACCAAACTGAAGTCTCTCATCTTGCTATCACAGGGACAGTCATGATAACTTATATGATACTAGTGAGTCATTGAGTATATAGTTAGTTGTTGTTGCAGGCTTCGTCTCAATGCTAATAGTAGTAATTAAGATTAAAGATCCTTTTTCGACGATACTAGAAAAAGTTCTATTGTAATGACTTGTAATGACAAAATCTTATCCAGGTCGTATTACACACACACACAACAACAACAAAAATTGTACATTAAGCTTTATGTACAAATTATGAAGATAAGATTAAGTTAAGCTTAATTTTCCATCAACATCAATATGCTATTTATTTCAAGGGCTAAAACTAACTGTATATTGGAAGTAAATTATTCATGATTGAGCCGATTACCTTCTCCAGCTGGCCCTCCGCCACTCTTCGGTGTTATAAGCTCCCTCCTGAGTTTAGCGAGTTTGGCTTTCAGCAAGCCAAGATGGTGGCTTGTATTCTTGTTCTTCTGAGTTCGTGCCATCTTATAATCACACGAATTATCACAGCTTTAATATATAAATACGACGGAATGAATATCTTACACATACTAACCTCACTTTCTATGTCGGCAATCCTTTCCAAAATACCCATTTCACACAAAAAATATAACAAAATACCGGCTAAAATTCTAAAATATTACAACACCGATCTTCACGTGGCCTCGTTTGAGTGTKTATGTGAGTAGCCGCTGTTTAGTAGCATTAGGGGCTTCTGACACAGGGACCCCATGTACATATGTAAAAGAGCGGGAGTTTCAACTCAGAGGAAAGGAAAATGCAGAAAGAATCTTTTTATTTCCAAGAATTATACATCGAAGAATGATAAGCTTTTGGGCATCAAATACAGGTTGGTTTAGATAAGCTTATTTGTAGAGTTTTATACAGAAACAACTTTTTCTTTCTGCAGAAATATCAACGAATATACACCTACTTGCAGAAACGTTGTCATAGAAAATAGAACATTTGAATTTAGTAAAAAGGAATAAATTAAAACAAGACAAAAGAGAGCGTTCAGCCTCAGTGATCTTCTTTTGTCTTTTTTAATTTATTCCTTTTTACTAAATACAAATGTCCTATTTTCTATGACAAGGTTTTCGCAAGTAGGTGTATGACACATTATTCAAGTTATCACTGATGACAGTTTGGAAAATAAATCAATTTAGTTTTATTTCTATAAACCTGTTAATATCTTACAATTTATGCCTTCATTAGTTATATTAAGGTTACCTATTATTAAACTATAAAGAAAATAAGATTTTATAAGGCTTAAAAATTATTAAACCTGAAAGTTAACTGTTACAAACTGGTGCAAAATCCATATATTTTGGAATTAAAATTTTTAATATAACTTCACAAGAGTCATACAAAAGCCATTTTGAATGAAATTTAGCATTTTGAATGCTGTTAATAATTAAAATATTCAAGATTTTGTAGTCTGGTTGTTTAGTAGGTTATTCCACAGTTTTAGCTGATGCACTTGAAATTGAGCAGTTTACTAAAATCTGTTACATTTGAGACAAATCAGTATTAAAAATTTGAGGACACTGTTTCACTTAGTCTCCAATGTAGTCTTCGTCATTTTTTTGCTGTCCTTCCAAAGGAAGCCCATCAAAATAGAAGGCTACAAAGAAGAATACAGTCCGACTTACCAAATTTTACAGACAAACGTGCTGTATGAAAGGAGTATTTATTTTGTCTTGTCTTTTGTTTGTTTGTTCCTTATTTTTTCCACTAAAACCATGATTTTAAATGGTAGATATAAGTATGAAATTTTACAAATAATATTACCCACTAAATATTGTACATAATAGTTGTTAATGATCATGATTATCAAAATAGTTCCAAAAAATTAAAACCAAATTTAGCAAAAAAATGATGCAAGCCAAAGCTTGAACTCAGATTACTGCTGAATTAATATAGTGCATTAATTTATTGTTTAGTTTATCATAAAATAGATCCCTTCTAGTAAATGGTTAATATGATAGCTGTATCCTCCCATTTTGAAGTAAAATGCATGGGTCAAATGCTGAACTAAATTTTTGTGTTGTACCAAATTAAAGTTTCTATTATTTATTTAACATGCAAAAGTCATTGTTTTTATCTCATTTGCACACAGAGTGGCTTTTAGACGCCTGTACTTCTCTTGCACTAAATTGCAACTTTAAAAATTTTCAAATTCTCTTAAATCGTATAGCTGATTATATAGTGCCTTGTGTTTTTGAAAGCACATATTATATCAGATATCTCCCTCTATTAACTATGCTTCCATTTGACAGTAAATATTTTAAACAGAATTAAGTTTGACAATTACGTTCAGCGTTTGACCCTAATTCATTCTAATTAGCCTAGTCTAAAATGTGATTTCTATTCCTTTGTTTAAGGACAGGTGACTTCATGAATGAGGTTCRTGCAAAACAAAGCATTTGACGTGTAGTACTGGCTTTAGTACTATCTCAAGTATTGTCTTGAGGTTTCTCTACTTTAGATTCCAATCTCATGTGTGTTCGAATTCTTTCCAATCTTGCGGTATTTACTCCTTTGTCAAGAAACGGTGCAAAACAGAATATCTAACAAACAATAAACACAATCCTGTTATTAAATTAAAAAGTTAATATGAGACATAATAGTTTGAATTGCTTACGTATCTGTGATGTGTTTCTAAATGAAACAATTCCAAAAGACAATTTCAATTGAATTGATCAGCACAAGGGGGATTTACCAACCGAAATACACCTAATATAATTATATTATCAAAGATACTATACAACTGTAGGTACTACTGTCTTTTATATATAGTCTATAGTCTTCTACTAGCATCTACAGCCAAGAGTGGAAAGCAGATTTTTGGTTTGGGGGAGGGGAGGGGAGGGGGGGACTGGATCAAGGCTAGATCAAGATGGGGGAGACCTACGTAGCACGCTACATTCATAAAATGTATTGTATTCCATTGTTTCTCGTTCTATTGTATTATGTGTTTTGTATTATATCTTTATGAATATATTACATCAACTGAGTACTACGTAGGCTCTCCCGATCAAGATATGGAGGCCAAGGAATTTTGGAAATTTTAAACATCCAAAATGCAACTTCCAGCATTTTGAAGGGGCTCAACAACATATTTTACGTCATGAATCTATGAAAATATTACTTGACACTTTCAGAATAAAATTTTATTGAATTTCTCTTCTCACAAGCAGGATAGCTAAGGTTACTTTTTCACATTTTCTTAGGAGCAAATAAAGCCAAATAAGAGAAAACAATTATTGGAAGGGCGCTACAGCTCCCCAGTTCCCCATGCTTAATAACAGTCCCTGATACTACAACAAATTAAAAGGGTACTTACAACATTTAAAATCAGTGCACATGGACAACATGTAGGGAATAATCCAGTAGAAAATGACCTTGCCTAAATAAAAAATATAAAATATGAATTTTTAGTCTTAGAATTAATACCAATATGGCTGCCAAAAATCTCAAGGTTGTTAATGATTGAAAAAGAGCAAAATTATTGCTGTACCATTACATGTAAACAAATTTAACCAGAAACAGTAATGTTTTCTAATTAACAGCAGTGAAATTTGTTGTTATGGTAGACTCACCAAACAATTTTTAATGTGCAGAAAAGTAGCATTGCTTAGTTTAAAACTTCCTAGTTTGTTGCCAGTTTGTTGTTGTTTGTGTTTATCCAGTGTTAAWAGCATCAAACAATGTAATAATTTATGATAAAATGCAAAATTCTGAAGGCGAATAGCCAGGTGATGTGAAATACAAGCAAAGTAGTGCAATGGTGGAGCTGTGTATATTAATGAGGACCAGAAAAAACCACAGCTGTCAAAAACTGGACTCATTTACACCAACACAAAATTTAGAGAAAGTATAATTTTAAGGACACAACTCCTAATGTGTATAAATATTACAGGGTTAGTACAGTCTTGAAAAGTCCTTGATGTTTGAGCTAGGTCCTTGAAAAGTCCTTGACTGCAAATTTTCCTTGAAAAGTCCTTGAATTTGGAGTAAAGGYCCTTGAAAATGATAATTTAGTCCTTGAATCAGTCTTGGTTGTTCTAAAGTAATGTTTTGGGGATCAATTTAGCCAAGCTTTAAAGCAAAATGACAAGTATTCAATCCTTTTTGCGAGACTTGCTGTACTGTTGTACAATATGGCGGCCAAGAAATTAATAGAGATTGAGGGAAATATTCTCCAAAAGAAAAAGTTCTTAAAACGTTTGACTGCAGTGTTAGTAAGTTTACTAACTGTATTTTTTTCTCTTTGTAATTGGAGTCCTTGAATATTGAAAATTAATCCTTAAAAAGTCCTTGAATTTTGTATGAACAAATCTGTACGAACCCTGTATTAGTACCAATTAGCTTTGTTTCACACAGCTTGTTAGTACATGTAGGTTTACCTAACAACTAAAAAGAAGCTTACCTTAGCAATTGAACCTGATTCTCTTCCAGGCTGAAACTCAATCTCAACCACATCAAACCATTCATTATTTGTAAAGCTAAATATCTGCACAAAGTTCTTGTTTCTATTCACCTGAAAGCAAATAGGGTTTAAGTTTTTTTTATAGAATTTTGGTATCTTTGTTAAGATGATTTAGATGGTTAAGGATGAAAATGCTGACCCAATGCATGAAAGATTATAAACAGGACTATATAGACAGCAATGAGTTTTTCACATTACCTCAAACAAATTAGAATTAATCTTTATTAGATATCAACTCACAACTGTTGCTATGGTTATGATTTTAGTTATGTTTGTGTGTTTGTGTTTTGTTTGTGGTTTAATTGAAAATTTGGCATGAGAATTTTCCTAATTTACATACAAAGCATTCATCAAGTGAATTAAATAATTGCAGTTTTTTTTAGTTTTTTTTTACTAGTAGATGTAAAATAGTATAGTGCTTARCAACTTACATAGTACAACATGTAATTCTTCAGTGTTGTAATATTAATTCATATTTAATTATATTTTTTTGTTAAATAATGTCATTCAAATCCCCTAGCATCACAATATCATTTCTCTATGTTTATTGTTTTATTATTTCGACAATACAGACTCGGTTACTGAATCTAAATATAGGAAAAAAACAACAAAGATAGATATTTTTCAGCTTTGAAAAAGAAAAACTCCAAAGTACTGATTTATTATTCATTACTATTTTGTTTAACTTTCTGTTATGTATAATGTTTTTTGCATTTCTACATTTGTTTTATCATTTTTGAATGCATCTATGAGATTAAAAGAATACATACGGTGTAGGTTGCTATAGATATTAATTTAATACCTTCAAATGTCAATCACAGTTGGATTGAAATGGAATCTACGTTGTTTTACAATTTCATTGTGATTTGATAGAATTATTGTACCTTGTTTTTAATTCATTTTGTAAATTAATAAAAAAAACTTTTTTTTTACACAAAGAAAGTATTATTTGACATATATCTATAAATTTAACTTTACCTTGTTTACATGCATCTTTTCTTTCTCTCCTAATTCGTCGACCGCTTCAATCAGTTTGTCAACGCAAACATCGACAGTAGCTTGGGGTAAAATCCATCTGCAAAAGATAATATGCACAAAATAATTATTTTAATACTTAAAATACTTCAAAATTCCCAATAAAATACATTATAGGTCTGTCTGCGTGAAGATGTCATTATAAGAGRCTTTTTGAATCACTCGATATATTCACAAAGCGGAAGAGTATAAGCTTACTAAAGTGTATATTTGTTCCATGACGGAAGCCGCTTTTGTAAAGCGTCAAAACTTTCACAAACTCACGTTTCTCTTGCACTATGTAGCTTCTTGACTCCAGGTAACCACATCGCAGGGCGAAGGATTGCTTGTATAGGAGACTGGCACATACTAAAACAACAATCTGCGGACGACATCTTTATGTAGCGATATTATTTCAAGAACACACCCCTGGAGATATCGCTTGCGACGAAAATATAGCTTCAATTATTATCACTTCAGTACAAGAACAAAATTGGTAGATTATCTTCTTGTCGAATTGAACAGATCTATAGTGCTATGAACCATTGCCGAGTAGATTGATGTCGAATTGGAGAATCACCAAATGACTYAAATGAGCATAATAAAACAAAGCAAAAAGTCAGAATAATTTTATACCCAGCTGAATTAGCTAGGCGTTACTTGTTAATGAAGAAATAGATTGGGAACTAGTCGCATATTAGCAAATGCTTCTCGCGGGAGAAATTCAATTCAGATTATGAAAACACTATTCCTAGACTATTATCAGATGTATTAATTGGTTGTACAGTCAGTGAATCGAAAATTTCAAGAAATATTAGTATTTATTGAAGATGATGAATAATTAATGAAATATAATACTCTCTTTTCTAGGTTGCCATGGTGAAGGATACAATACGAATATGATACGYGAAGTTGTGACAACAGTAGAAAATTGAGAGAAGTCTTATATTCCTACTTGCTAAGATGGACTGGATCTGTCAGAGATATAGAGTGTACAAGTAACTCATRAAACTCCTTCGTGATTGCTCAGTTGATTGTGCGAGAGTTAATTGCTTGGTGTTAAAGTCGTTATCACTATATTGAGCAGCACTTAACAATGGCCGAAGTTACTTCGCGCAGTTCTTCTGCTGAGAGTGACAGACCCCGGAGTCTTTCAGCAGCAATGGTMTTTGAGAGAAGCATGAATGAAAGCGAGGGATTCCGTAGCCCTATGCTGAAACACTTCACCAGGAACATTATTAAGAAATGGAGGAACTCGAAGGAACGTGCTATAAACAAAAGACTACATGAAGTCAAGGTCGAGAAGAAGCGAAGAGARGCAGARTCYAAGGAAGTCGCTAGACTTATTACTCGAACTGTACCACTTGATCTGCTAGCTAAAGAATGGTTGAATAACAATGCTCTCACGGTCGATGTAAGAATATACCTTGTTGAAAAACTTCTACCAACTCTCATTCTTGGGATYGAGAAGTTACTTACTGAGGTGTCTGACAGAAATCTCGCAGATTCTGAAGGATTTTGCAAGGATTTTAATCCAATTAATAATTTAGCTCAATATCTTATGAGAAACAACCCCAAATATTCCAATCTGTTGGAATCTTCTCCATATGCTAAAGGCATGCGGAAAGTAATCGAGGACATGAAAAAGGAGATTTATGCAACAGAGGAGAACAAATTAGCAAAAATAAAAGCTGAAGCAAGAAAGAAAAGAGAARAAAGAGAACAAATAGAAAGAATGAAAGATGTAGAGGATAGAAGAAGGTCGTATGCTATTGAAGAACAGTTTCCAGAATGGACTTCAGATTGGAAAGGATTCATACCCCTTGCTGTTGTAAGTAAAAGAAAATTGGACCTTTATTAATTGTCCATTGGCATCCAGCTCAATGAGTGTTAATAGATTAAAGTGTTATATAGAGCCTGTCTTTTGACAATGATGTTGATTTTATAAATATGGCATACATGTGACTGACATAATTTTATTTTGTTTTAAGATTCAAAATGCACTTCTTTCATATCAAGAGCTAGTGGCAACAATGTCAGAAGAAATCAAAAAGGGTATGTATCAAACGCTAGTGAGATTTCTTTTAAAAGCAGCTCAACTGTTAATTTTAGTATCCTACAAAATAACTCTTTCTTATTGTGATTAAAATTGTGAAATGGCTTTTTTTAGGTGCTCATTTCTGTGTTCCATTGGATCCCACTGATACAAAAGGRAATGTTTTGGATCTAGATGCATACAAACAGGTAGAGAGAGACATAATAGTGCATTAGTCTTTGTAAAATAACTAATTACTGGTACTGATATGTGAGATAACATGCATGCTGATTGGATTGTGACTGTGACTGTGTTTATGTCAGAGTTCACAGACATGGCTTGCTGTGCTACTACTTAACTATATATGTCATTTTAAAGACGAGATATTATACTTAGCAGAGCCAATGAGATAGATATATACCACAAGAGAAGCAATCTGCTGAAACACTTTCTACAAGTACTATACTCATGTAAAATCATGTCAATGAATTTGTTTTTTTGACTGTGTTTCTTAGTTCATGAAGCCGTATTCAGGAAACATATCTGCACAAGCCTTCAATATCCTACTTGGTCAYCTRACATTGTGTGCCAAAGAATATCGAGCTGCAAGCCTTAGACAAGCTGTTCAGTACGTTATTGATTTTTATGGATTTATAATTTGTAATTATTCTTAGTATTTGATTAAAAGTTTAATGAGTGCATTGGAATGGAAATGGATGGAAGAAAGGGTTCAAGTCAATAGGATTTGTTGATAAAAACACAAATGAGCAACACCAGCAAATAATGTTAATTCTGAAGAAGGAAAGAAATGCAAGAGAAGAAATAAAATATAAATATTGAAAAAAAATATTGAAATAATGAAAAATCAACAACAAAATGAAAATTTGTTTTTTAGGTTGATGCTGCAAAACTTGTTCTTAGCACTTGATGTAAATAAGGTAAGACCCCAAATAGCATTATAATGTTCACTCTACAGTCAGCTCTCGTTAGTCTAAAGAACACCTTGGAACATTTAAAATTATTGTTTGCGAGTGTTGACTGGCTGTCCGTAATGACTGGCTGTCCGTAATACTGGGGTAACTGGGGTAACTGCGAGGTGATAGTTGACTTTGTTATTGGTTGTTATTGGTTGTTATTGGTTGTTATTGGTTGTTATTAATGATTTGTTTGTTCCCCAAGGTTGGTCAACTTGACCGTCAACGTGTGCTTGAGTTATTTGGTGTCTTTTACGATAAAGCTCCAGACAAAGATAAAATTGTCCTGAGAAATCCTCGACAATGTGAGTAGTATAATTGTCGAAAAATTCTCATTATGACCAAGTTCTGAAAAAAGCATTTATTGTAGTTCTTTTTATGTGGATTTTCCAAAAAAAATAGCAAAGCAATACACTAAAACATGTGCATGTTTGTTATTCGTTTAAACTGTAAAGCTGTACTGATTGAAGGTATAAAAGGATGAGGCCTTTTCTGATGAGAAATTTCAATTCAACTTTACACTACATGTATTATGTCGCATATCATGTAAAATTCGCTTTCTTTTAGGGCCTGTCATTGAAGTTGAAGAAGCAAGTTTTCAGGATAGCGAAGAAGAAGAGGAAGAGTCTGTCTTAAGTGAAGAGCTGACGGAAAAACCCAAAGGAGAAACAAAAGAAATACCTAAACAACAAGAAGAAGAGAAACAAGATCAGACGGAAGGAGAACATCAACAAGAAGGGACCAAGAATGATGAAAAGAAAGACGACGAAGAAGCAAAACAAGTTAAAGAGGAAGAGAGTCAACAAGAAGAAGGAGAGAAGAAGGAAGAAGAAGACAAACCTGGAAATGAAGAAGAGAAGAATGATGAACATGAAAACGAAGAAGAGAAGCAGCAGGAAGAAGGCAAAGAGATGGCAAACGATGAAAATAAACAAGAGTTGCAAGGTAACTGATATGTATCTCAATGCCTAACAAAGTTTTCCAGTAAAAAAAACTCGCTTCAACAAACTTTGGTGAAACATGTAACTCTAAAGCTGCAGTCAAATTGTTCAACTTGACAATCTGTTCAATACTTGGTGCTAAGTGGTTATGACAAGYAAAAGTCCGGGCGCGAGGTGTTGCGAGGTGTTGCGGTTCCGGGAAATTGAAATGGAACAAATACACAAACTTTGCTTCAAGCAGACGCTTTTGAATACTACAGCACTGCAGAAAACGTTATTGAACGAACATCGTAATTTTATATTTATTTTCTCTCTAAAAATTAACCTACACAACTTTTTCTTGAGACTGACGGGTATTGTCTATTTGCCAACTCGATGTGCTTTAAGCCTCAGTATTCGTGCTCAAATGTGAGTTTTATTGTCTGATTTCAGATGAAACRCAAAATGAACCCGAACAGACGGAGAAACAGAACGAAGAAGACAAAAAAGACGAAGGTCTGAGTGAAGAAGACAGAAAACTGCTCGACTCAATTCCTGATGAATGTAAGATAGTTTTCTTTTAATTCTTTCRAWTTTTTAAAAGTTCTCAKCGCAACAAAGGTTTTCACAACGCTGTCATAGTCCTCCCTGAAGGCATTAGTGAAGTATCGGGAGATGCGTGCGGAGGAGGGTACATGTAATTGTGAAYGATTAATAAATAGACAGCAAATAATATTAATAATAATAATTTATAATAGATAATGTTATTATAAAATTCACAGTCGAGTCTTCAGAAGATTCAGAGTCTAAAACTACAGGAAGTGTTTTTAAACCAGACACGCAGTCAGTAGTCGAAGGGTCAGCATTTGATGAGAATTCGTTGAACCAATCACAGTTTGTTCATCTCTCTCAGAAGTTCTTGGGTGACGCTCCCAAAAGGTATGTTTTCCTAGTTACGGACATCCACTTAGCACGGCTAGCCTGGGGACGGGGTTTGTATTACCCTGTGGGCGCGGTTTCAATAGGCAATGTGCAGGAGCGACATTTTGTGCAGCAAAGCATGATGGTAGTTATAGCCCTCGTACTTATTATAGACACTAGAAAAATACCTCCCTAAAAGGCGTTTTTACAATATATTTGTAAAAACAGTAAAACTACATACTTCTATTTTTGCTTAGAAAAAGCAAAAACTGCCAAAGAGGACTGTTTTATCGGACATAAAAAAGTACGAGGACATTATCTACCATCGTGCTTTGCTACACAAAATGGCGTCGCTGCATATTGCCTATTGACTGATGCATTAAGGCCACGTCCACACTATAGTGATGTCGTGTGTAGCGTTTTTGTACTGGTTTTTATTCCCTTGCGAAAAAAGCAAAGACATGTGCGCTACACAAACGCATTAATCTAGATGGGCCTAAGACTTAATGTTCTAAAAAAGACGTTTGCTACACGATTCGTACATCGTTATGATAAAAATAAAAAAATAATGACAGTTTTTACTGTTAAATTTTAAAGGTTGCGATAAAATTTGATCAGTGTTCTTCCATTCATTTATTCATTCG